TCGCCGTTGGGTCTTCGATCAGGAGGAGATCGTCAACAATGCTACTGGACGGTCAACACGCACCTTCTGGGTCTTTACCAACGGATACTCGCTTGTCAAGTACACTTACGATGAGAACACCCCCGATGATGCCATTAACTTCGACCATGCCGAGAAGACCTGGGAAGAAGACCCCCGCGGTTATGAGGCCCGCCTCGGTCCTCTCCGCTGGAGGGATCAGGACGGTGTCACCAAGGATCGTTGGTTGTTGCGAGAAGCCTATGTTGTGGGTGACAATGTTCATCAGTGGTATGTGCGTGAGGAAGATGAAGGCCACAGCGTGATCGAGATTGTCTGGCTCGGTCCCAAGGGCGGTGGCGGTGCAGGCATCAATGACTTTGCTGTTCGCAGGCAACACTGAGCCTTGAGATCAGACAATCAAAAATCATATGAACGAAACTAAGGCTGGTCCTTGGAATCTGCATAGCTTCTCTTCTTGCACATTTTTCATTCTCTTTATTTATCATTTTTCTGTTGCTTTTCCTATCTCTCTGCTGCTCCCCTATCAACACCTTTGCTAAATTACTTCGAATGTCGACGACGATATAGCTGAAAACAAGGACAGACGTATAAGGGATTGGATCGGGTGTATCAATTCTTTTCTCGGAACCCTGACCTCCTTCGGCATTCTGTTCTCTATTGATTGATCATTTGTTTCATACTCGGCGTTGTCATCGGCGGAGTCAAGGAATGAGCGCGGTCGATCAAAGGACTGGGAACTGGTGGTTTTCAGCGGACGGGAAACTCGGGACTATGGCTCGATCAAGGTTTCGCCTCAATTCGGTGGCTTGATCGAGGTGCCAGCCCGGACACTACTACACTCTCTTTGTTTTTCCTTGTCTTTTTCACCGTGATGTTCGAGGCTTGATCCTTCTTGATGCATACCACTTGTAGAAATAGAACCTCTTTCGATCTCCCACGTCTCTCCCCGACCACGGAGTCGCGGTTAACGCTGGTTTGTCTTTTGCTTTGTCCTGGAGATTAGCGCATGTATCGTGGCGGGTGTTGTCCGGCCGCATATCACGACTTAAGTCTTAGATCTGTCTTTCTAGGCTCCTGGTATATAGAATTATAGATTCCTTGAATAATCTTAGCATTGTGAGTGTGTGTGTGTGTGTGTGTAGTCATCATTTCCAAAAATTTCTGGACTGATTTTGCCTGTGTCGGCCAGACGAAGTATAGCCGCTGTCAGCGTCTGTCAGAAGTTCTCGACTAAACTCTCTATCTATACTTCAGCAGCCTATCAGTTCTAGCTGCTCTTCAGCATTGTACAAAAAGCATCCTACTGTCAGTAAGCTAGCACCACACACCAAGCCTTACAACCCTGTCGTCTCCAATCTCTCTTCATCGCCTATCCCTAACCGAATTCCAACCAACATTCAATCTCGAACCATTGCCCCAATTATATCATATCGACAATACATCCCCTCCCCACAGGACAACACGCCTTCACGTGTACTTACAGACAAACGACTTTCCAGTTTCCCTTACTCACCCAGCAAAATTCCCGAGAACGTTCGCCCGCCGCAACACAGCCACATTTTTGGTTTTCTGTTTGGGGGCTCTGGGATAGGCAGGCAGGCGGCGGGTTGAACTTGGAAACCCGGGAGGACTGGAGCCTATCATGTTTTCTTGGGTGGTAGGACAATGTGAGGGGTGAGGGTCCTGGTTCCGGGGTTTGGTTGGTTGGGAGGTGCAGTGGGTGGTGTGGGTGAGATATATGATTTTGTCGGATTGGATTGTTTTGGGGGTAGAGGAGGCGATGGATGATCAGGTAGCCTGGTATTTATACTGTGTTGATCTGGAAGAGATGGGGTTTGGGGCGTGGGGGTTTGGGGGTATGTATTGTTGTACTTGTGAGTATGTGGCTCGGGGGATTGGGTATGGTGGTGTATATAGGTTGGTTGGTTGGTTGTCTATTGTGTTGTTTTTTCATGATATGCCTTCGTGGCTTGGAAGCTTTGCTACTTCACCCGCGCTTGGGAAGCATCTACTATATACTAAACTGATGGGATGCAGCCTGAGAACTTGAGGGAGGTATGCATCCGTCCTGGTTGTATCAGGGTGAGTTAGGTGGGTTTCTCCTGGGCTGCGAGTTCTTGTTCTCCAGTCAGGGGATTTTCGGGATGCTTAGGGGGAGGGTCGGTGATATTGGAGGTGGTGGGATTGGGGGCTTGCTGGAGGGCGTGAAGGGTGATATCAGATCTACTTTCTAGTTACGCGCTTGCCATCTTTTGTCTTGCAGTACGGTACATGGGGATGACTTGATGGTTGGTTGCTGTGTGCCATGCCGGTGGTCAAGAGGTCAAGTTGGACCGGCGGGTTTATTCTTTTCTTCTTTTAGGCCATGCCGTGGATGATGGGTCCAGTCGTAAGCTCGGAACGCCTGAAAGCTTGACCTTGGATCCTATCAAAGACTTACCTATGCTTCTGGCTGAGGGTGCAGTGATGTGTGGGGTGTGATGAGGGGTTGAAAGTAAGTTTGGTGGGGAATTTGGGAGAATGTAACCCTGGAGGCTTTCGGTTTCGGGGTGGAAGTTGTGGGATCGATGGTGTGGGCTTTTGAAGGCTGGGATTGGATGGGATGGGATGGAGGATATATACCAGGTGTGTTGTGTTGAGCATGGTACAGTTGAGTGAGCGTTTGATGCTGGCTTGTTTGGTTGTTGTTGCAGGTGGCTGGTGTCTATCTTTTTACGTGTCTCTTAGAATGGAGAGTCCGCACAGCTGAATCTACTATTTTTGGTGGATTTTGGTGGATGAGGGTTGTTGCGTGGTGGTGTAGTTGTAGATTGTTTCATACTCGATAAAACATGGCGGACATCATGATCTCGAACTGTCACCGTCATCCCGGGTTGGATTTCCGCGGGGAAATCCTGGGTATATCATACGGAACAGGTCTAGTTCTATTCCATGACTTATGGCTCAAGGTACAGTACTATTCGGGCACAGCCCTACAGGAAGGGGACCTTTGGTCGGTGGTGGATCTTGCACGAGTTGGGAACTGATGATCGAGATTTCGTTTTTGTCAGGCAGTGTTGTGTTGTTGAAGATGTTGATATGGTTGTCCACGCTGGTTTGCTGGGGTTTCTGTGGAGGGCTGAGCACAGAGTAAGTTGTTCCAGCATCTGCGTACTTAGAAAACTACAGTCATCCAGGCTCTGGAATGTATGGGCCGGTTCCGGTTTCAAGGGATGGATGGGTGCTTACCTGCGGAGGAGGATGTGTGTGGCCTCCGACTGGACAAGCTATTAGAGGACGGGGAAGATATATTATTGGTGCTGGGTGGGAATAATTGGGGCAATTATTGCTGATAGTAGGGCCTCAGGCTGCGTGCGTTTCCCCTGTGAATCCTCTGCTGTCAGTGGCTATTCTTGGATCCCTGCATTTCCAATGCTGGTGTCTGAGTATCGTTGTAGTTGGGCATTAGGTAATAGTTATGGTCCATGATGTATCGATAGAATATTGTTGAAAAGTGTCAATGAGTGTTGAAAAGGGAGACGGCTGGCATAGTAGGTAGGTAGGTACCTAGTAGTCACAGTAGGTAAGTCCTGGCTGACTTGAGTTTATAGGGTTGCATGCATGCAAGAGCACAACCCGGGGGACAGGCGGCAGTTCAGTAGTGACTGTCTAGTTAGTGTAGGCCCTAGGATGGTGTGGAATGCACTTCCCCCTCCAAACTGTAGAAGTCTCTACCGAGCTGGCTCGCTGGTTGGCTCGCTGGTTGATCTTGGACTGAGAGCGAGAGAGTACCTAGCAGGTACTACAGTACTACGCAGTCAGAACAAGGCGTCTGCAGGTCACTGGCCGGTCTCTCTGTGTCTCGGTAGCACAATTGCCAGGTCTGTAGTTGAGTTAGTAAGTTACTGGAAGTAGTAATGTTTTGATTTTGGGGGCGAACTGCCCGCGCGCCGCTCCCCGTACTGCGTACTGGGGTTTACCGTACACGGGAGGAAGCACCGCTAGACCTGGCCAAGTGGAATGCGATTCTGAAGGTCGGCACATGACCGGATCTCAAGGACTAGTTGGTGATCAAAGTGATGAGCTTGAAGCTCGACAACTCAGAATCCTTAAGTTCTGCTGATTGTGAGTGTACGTACGGAGTAGTTTTCGACTACACACCTACAGTGTCCACGGTCTGCACACTAGATTCCCTTTCTGGATGGTGGATGGGAAGGAAGCCAGCGGACAAAACGGATACGGTAATAGAACCTCGGGTGGGGAATGTGAGTTGGCCTCTACAATCGATTCCCCCAATGCCTTACTGCGGCTGCGCCAATAGACACTCGGGCCAAGAGCCAGGCTTCCCCACCGTCGGGTCTGGACACCGCCCGTATTGTGACCGAAAGATTGGAGCCAAGTTTGGGGTGTGGTGAATAATGAGTATGCGGCGTTGCGGGAGAGCAACTCTGCAAGATGAGGTAGAGGTGGAGGAGAGATGACTTGGAGGTACAGTGAAGATCAGTGGGCAATCAGTGTAGTCCTGAGTAACATGAAGTACCTGTGGTTGTAGGTTGTAGGTTGTAGTGTACCAGTTCTACAAAAAGGGATGGAAGCTCTCTCCCCCATGGAAAGATGGGAAGAATGCATCCATCCATCAGCCAGCGGTACGAAACCGGTTCCCGGGGGTACGATCAAAGATACCGAGCCCACCCACCGACCGATCCACGTGACTGACCGCCTGCCTGTCCTAACCGGCACTTTGCCTTCTTCGACCTTCTCCTCACTCAGTCGCTCCCCCCCCGTTTTCTCTTTCCTTCTCGTCCTGAACCCAAACCCTGCGAAGCAAACGCGTTACTCGATTTGGTCATTCTCCCTCCCCCTCAAAAGCATCATTCCTCTTTGGGCATTTGTCTTCACGTCCCCCAGTATCTTCCTTCCTCACTTTACTCTTTCAAAGGAATTCCTTTTCGTTCAAGTTTCCTCCCCCCTTCCCCCCTCTTAATCACCTCATTCAAACCATGGCCGACATCACCGCCGTCGGTGAAGAGAACCCTTCTCCCACCCAGGACGACCTGCAGCAGGCCGCCGGTAACGGCGCCGCTGACAACCGCGGCACCAAACGCTCTCGCATGAGCGCTGCCGACGACGACGATGACGATGATGACAAGCCGGGTCGCGAGCGCAGAAAGATCGAAATCAAGTTCATTCAGGATAAGTCGCGTCGCCACATCACCTTCTCCAAGCGGAAGGCGGGTATCATGAAGAAGGTACGTGCTTGCGCGTCTCAGCCCCGTCAACCTCTTTTTTTTGCCCACCCTCGATCATTCGCGATTCCAGTCGATTCGCGGCTCTTTGTTCTTTGTCGCTACATGAGCTCAAGGTCTTCCGCATCAATGCGTGATGCTCGCGTGAAGTCATTGTTCCCATCCGCTTGACTAGTACTGACGCATCATCGCGGTCGCAAAACAGGCATATGAACTTTCCGTCCTCACTGGTACTCAAGTACTGCTTTTGGTCGTGTCTGAGACCGGTCTCGTGTATACTTTCACCACCCCTAAGCTCCAACCATTGGTGACCAAACCGGAGGGCAAGAACCTGATTCAGGTGAGTGGCGTCCGCTAATGTCTCGGTCAATTGAGCCCGATTGACTCACACTTCTCCATTGCAGGCCTGTCTCAACGCTCCCGATCCGACCGCCAATGAGAACGGCGTCGACGCCCCGGAGGTGCCTGCTGAGACTCCCGAAGATGTCAGCCATGCCAATGTCAACCCTCAGCAGCAGAACATGCCCCGCCCTGCAGGCATGCACCCCGGTTACATGACGAACGAGCAGCAGCAGCAGATGGCCTACTATCAGAACCTCCAGCAGCAGCAGCAAGCAGGTCAACAATATCCCGGTATGCCTGTAGGCAACCGGATGCCCCCTCAGCATCAGCCCACCGCATAAGCTGTGTGTCTTTGAGTCCCTCCCGCCGCGCGCTCTAAGGAACCTGAGGAGCTTAGGCAAGTTGTTCGCATCTTTGTCAAACATCAGCCCGCGCAACGCTTGCTCCTCCACGGCCTTTCTTTGATACCCAGACGATTTGTTCCCTCACCTATTTGGCACACTTCCGAAACCCAAAACCAGATGAAAAAAAAAATGTGAAAAATCCGGTCTACGCTGTATGCCAGAAAGCAATCCAGAATATCAAGAGGAGGGATGATTTCAATGTCTTTTTTCCATACTCTGTATATCGTCGAACTGTTGGTGCTGCATGCAATCCGAGTCGCGCTGATCTCAGCATATGGCAAGATCGCGTCTGCTATATCCGCCCCCCCCGTTTCACCATAAATGCCAAACAGCCTATTAAACAGAAAAAAGCTCAATCGAGAAACAGAAAACCACACAAAAAAACAAACCCAAAGGCCAGAATGGATGATCGAATCATGAAGGATGCATTCCGAAATCTGGGAAAGGCTCCCAGGCAATAAATTGATTTTCTTTCCTGTTTTCCCATTCATTTTACTAATGTCTTTCCTAGACGACTGCTGGGAAGTGGCGGTGTTTCTGGTGCTTTCTTTCTCTCTTCTCCCTGTGTCTGCTGACTTTTTCCTCTTTTTGCGGGCGAAGTGGTTCTCTGTTAGCTCTGATTATCGAAATGCGTGTGTGTGTATGCGCGAAGTATATGTGTTCTTATCATAAATTGTCATTTCTTTTCTTTCCAAACCCCATCTTCCACCCATGCAGTGACTTAATCCCTTGTGACTTCCTTTTATGCAGTTCCCTCTCTTTCAGGAAGGAGTGGGCGGACAAATGCCATGTATGATCACTCCTCGAGATTCTCTTGCCATGATTAGCGTATCGTAGCGGCGGGTAACTTACCTACCTTGCTGTTCTCATAGGACTCTACTCTTGTGCTGGCTGTATCCATATGGGAGAATCTATATAGGAGATCAGCCGATGAGTTGGTTGCTGGCAGAGCGATGCAGACAGCAGTCAGCATTGTACTCGTACCAGTTCCCGCACCGGGCAGATCTTCCAATGATGTCAGATCCTGATGATATCAGGGCCGGGCATACCCTAGGCGTGGCAACTAGCCAACAACAGTAAAAGTAGGGGGAGAAAGGATTACAACATGGTCGTATGGTCGAATAGCGCTTGGGTGGAATGCTGCACTACGGTCTTGCTTTGGGGGAGTCGCTGGGTACTCGTTTGATGGTATGAGTTTTCATGTGGGTATGACTGCGAGCATTGGTAAAAGTGCTTGAGTCACTATAGGCTTGTTTAGGAAAATTAGATGTGAGACTGGATCTTTGGTCGATTGATAGGGATTCTGCCTACGGGCATGTCCTCTGTCTGGCCCGGTCTTTTCGGGGTTGTCTATCATGCAGGGTTAGATTTAGGGGAGGAGAAGGTATAGCGTTCGTTTTGCTTTGGCTTTGACTGTGGTTAGAATTGTGTACTTGCTTATACTTTGGTATAATAGGTTATATGGAATGTATGGATTTGTTGTTGTACATTAAGTGATAGAGAGGCTCGGGTGGGGTCTACTGTTTGAGACATATATGGTGCTGCTGGCTGTCCAGTAGAAAGGTCTATGGGAAAGGAAGGTAGGAAGAAGGAAGGAAGAGGTCGAAGCAGAATCAGAAGAGAAAGAATGACTATTGCTGCTCGAAGGGGCCATCCTAATGAGCCTCGAGGTCTGGATCATGGTCGGACGGTTGGCGCCCCCGATTTGACGACGTCCAGCGAGTGAGGGTCCGTACGCTTCCCCACGCCTGGCGGAGAGCTCTCCTCGGACCAGCGAGGAGCGCGCCCCCCTCACCCCTATCTGCACCGGGTGAGAGGTGCAAGGATCCCTGGCGACGGTGGTGGGAGGCAACGAGGCTGTCGCTTCGTTCGTCTTGCGTGCCGTAACCTGTGACCCGGGCACCCGGGCCATTGGCGGTCCCCTGCCGGTGAAGAAGGAGCTGGCGGTTTTCCGAGGCGGGAGCCGATGTTCGCCGTTGTTTACGGTCGAAGAGAGAGTACGGGTTGCGGCGCTGATTCCAGGCAGGTGATTGACCCACAGGGTTGGTGGTGGAGCGGCGTGGGCCTCGGAGAAGACTATCTCGCAGGGTCGTTGCGCCACTTCGGCTGCGCGGTCGTGCTGGGAAGGGCCCAGCCGAGGCGCGTTTGCGCTGACCCGACCGCAAGGCGAACGCCGCGTATTCGTTGTCCGAATCATCAAGTTCGGCCCAGATGGAAGCAGGATCCACGTCCGCTGTCGACGTCGTCGAGTCCCGATGGCTCAACGGCGCGTGTAACAGAGGTAGACTGGGTGCCCGTTGGTGCGGGGTGCGGCGAGGAAGGTGAGCTGTTTGCAACAGTGGCTCCCGCTCCGATCCCTCCTCGCCGTCGAGTCCCAGGCCAATCGGTGATGTCGGAAGTTCCTCAAGGACGGCCAACCCTGGACCCAAACCGGTTTGCGTGGGCCCGGACACGGCCACAGCGGCGTGACTGTCGATATCCTCTAAGCGCCAGGACAGACAGAGCACTCCGCTCAGGAGAACAATCGTCCCCAGCGCGATAAGTCCCGCGTGGAAGCCTCCCAGCTGGGACATTTGTTGGAAATAGACCAAACCATCTATGATAGCAATAATGTTATAGATGCAGAAGACAAACGGATACAGAATGCTGGTACTGCACAGTTTCAACCCTCGATGGAGGTAGAAGAGCTGGGACAGAGCCAGCGCTATCATTGCAAGCAGAATGACCCATGATTGCCAGCGGTTGAATTGATTGACGCGATCCACGACAGTCCGAACCAACAGCTCGACAGCCGATTTCGCAAGCAAAAGAGTGTGCGCGGATAGTATTCCGCTGATCATGCCAAAAGAAAGCCCGCGTATGAGGCGAACACGCCCCGGGGACATTTGCAGTGCCCTGTAAGAACCGCGCGATCCCGTATGCTTGGACCGCGGCGGTGACGTAAGGAAATCGAGCAGTCTGGACCCTGCGTAGATAGCCAGCACCATCAGAGCTGTGCCTCCCATCCAGAGTACGAAGTTTCGACGCTGCAAAAGCTCCAGGAGTTGATCAAGACTATGCGCCGGCTCTCCCAGGGCACCGAATATTGCGATGAGCAATGCACCAATGCAGACCAAAAGTGTGCCCACCAGAGAGTATCTTGTAAACGCTTCACCGAGGATCAGAGTAGCAAAGACGGTGTTGAAGACGAGACCGGACTAAAGCGCGGGAGTTAGTGAAGCTCTGTAATTGTCGTCGCAGGGCTAGAGACTGACTGCTTGGAGTGTTGAAAGTACCGGGAGCGGAAGGGTTGTGATTTGTATAGTACTGCCAACAATGTTCGCAACGACGAACATGAGCATACCCAGCTAGAAAGAGAATCGCGCGGTTAGACCATTGCGAGGCACTGGAAGAGAAACATGCGCTGCGCACCTGCCATCTTCGACGTTTGTAAGGCGGTCGACGTAAATCGTAAGGGTGTTTCTCGTCCTCGAGGATATGCGACTTGCGTTGGAGGGTCAGTCCGATAGCTTGAAGACTGGTCGAGATCAACCCGACGACGACTCCAACCTAGCAGGAGGAAAGGAAGTTAGCTCCTCGATAGTCAACCGTGGAAATCGAACCAATAACTGACCGCGACGCTCCCCTGAGGTGACAGGTCACCGAGATTGCCCATTGCGAAGGTTGTCCTCATGCATTGGCTGCTGAGCGGGGAACGAGAGACCAGGCACACATCAGACTGGGGAAGGACAGGCTAGCAGTCCAGACTCCATTGTCTGACGGAGGCGATGGTAAGGACAGAGGAGAACCTTAGGTGGTATACTTAGGCGAAGAGCAAGGAGCGAAGGGTTATCGTGTCAAGTATGGAAGAGGAAGAAGGGGAAGGGTAAGTTAAGTTTAGTCGAGGGGGGCAATTTGGGGCGGAGGGAGAGAGACATTGAAGAGTAGCCGCCAAGCTGCGATCCGATCAGCAGATCCCGCCAAGTGCGACGCTTGCTGCTTGCTCTCTCCCTCTTGTCTTTTCTCCCTTCCCTGCCCCTCCTTCTTCAGGTCGCTTAACTACATTTTACATTCCGTACCTCTACGTTCAGGTGAGTTTCCTCCTTCTGCGTGGTGGCTCCTCCTGACCCCCTTCATGCAAGTGGTCTGTTGTTGTTGTTGTCGTTGTTGTACAGTACAATCACTATCAGTGCCGACCGGGAGTATCAGAGTGACAATCAGGCTGACGTTGGTCTCTTCTTAGTGCTCCACCCAGAAACACTCCTCCGCATCGGGAAGCTCGAACGGCCCTCAACATACCTACCAACCGACCTACCTACCTACCTACCGATAACCAGTCTTTCGCTTTTCCTTCTTTTCCCTTTGTCTTGTGAGACTTACTTCATCAACACACGGTCACCATGTCGCAAAGTCATGCTCTTTCCGATGACCAGGTACGCAACCATTGCTCAGTCCCAACTGCCCCCCTCCCCGCTACGGAGGCGACTGTCAGGCCCCGAACTCACAACCCTCTACAAATAGGTTGCGGGCGAGCTTCGCAAGATGACGGCCTTCATCCGCCAGGAAGCGGTGGAGAAGGCCCGCGAGATCCAACTGAAGGCCGACGAGGAGTTCGCCATCGAGAAGTCCAAGCTGGTCCGCCAGGAGACCGCCGCCATCGACACCCAGTATGAGAAGAAGTTCAAGCAAGCCGCCATGTCCCAACAGATCACCCGCTCCACCCTCGCCAACCGCACTCGCCTGCGTGTCCTCTCCGCCCGTCAGGAGCTCCTCGACGAGCTGTTCCAGCAGGCCCGCGAGCAGATCTCCGGAATCGCGGCCAAGGACGCCGACAAGTACCAGACCGTGCTGAAGGGGCTGATCCTTGAGGGGCTATATGCGTTGAACGAGGACAAGATCGGCGTGAGGGCACGCAAGCAGGACTTTGACACTGTCAAGAAGGCGATCGAGGAGGCCGAGAAGGAGTTCCACGAGACGGTCGGCAAGGAGGTCACCGTGGAGTTGGACGAGGAGGAGACTTTGCCGGAGGGATCGTGAGTCAACCTTTTTTTTGTTCTTTCTGGTTTCTTCCTGTCTTGGTGATTGTCCTCCTCAAAAACTAACGTCTTATGATTGTTGTTATTACCCAACAGTGCAGGTGGTGTCGTGATCGTGGGCGGTCAGGGCAAGATCGAAATCAGCAACACGTTCGAGGAGCGACTGCGTCTGCTGGAGATTGATGCTCTCCCCGCCGTTCGAGAGACGCTCTTCGGCAAGAACACCAACCGGAGGTTCTATGACTAGAGGTGGCTGGGATCGTTTGGTTGAATTTGCCCCCCTTTAGAGACATTATCTGACCTTGCTGTACTGCCTCCCCTCCCCCACCCAACCCCATGTATCTATTGTACCTGTTGTTTCTTCTTCTCCCCCCCACTGAAGATCGTTCTAGCTCTGTATACAGGCCCTTACCGTGTTTCTATTCTCCGTGTCTGTCTGGAGTTCCAATTCGAGCCGAATGATGATTTTAAGCTTTCCCCGCCCCCCCGTTTTGTGCTGATTCGGTGCCGGTGCCGAGTGCCTACGAATTGTAAGCGTAGAGTGTGGGATATATCGTGTGTACGTGGATAGAGCGGAAATTGGAATTGGATTCCAAGGGAGGTTTGTTTGTGGATAGTAAAAGTTTATATATACAGAGGCCGCCTGAACTACGAGTACCAGAACTACCACCAATAGATCATCGCTTGAAGGATTTATGGAGATTGCAACGTTCCATGGGCTTGGATAATGATAGACCTACGATGGCCCTCCTGTTTCCTCCACTACTGCTATCGCTCAATGTGAGGCAGACTCTGGGCTAGGATACTTCGACGTTGGTGCTCGACAGACGGGATCAAGGGGACCGAGCAGTCCACCCTGTGCAGGAGGTTCAAATGCGACCACGAATGCTGACTTGTGCGCAACTGGAGCAGAAAGTACGAAATCGGGCAGGAGGCCGATTGAGCTGAAAGAGAACCATAATGTTCACAGTCAGTCCGAGGTTTGCACAGTACCGATTCAAAAGCAATGGCCCGAGGTCTGTGAGCATGCTGTAAGGATGTTGGCCCGTGGCTGCTGCATTGCACGTTGCTGCAGCGCGCTTTCGTGCCGTGGAGGATGGTTGCAAGGTGCAAGTAGGTCAGCAGGTCGCGGTGGAGCCCGAGCCCTGTAATTCACCCCCGGTCGCATTGGGACGGCTCCTTATAACCTGGTAGTATGCCGTCGAGAGCTGCATGAGGGCTGCAGCGATTATATGCACTGGGGAGATTCGCCACTCCACTAACTATGACTGCGATAGCCACGGAAGATGCATGAAAATAGAAGGGGTACCGTACGCTTCACCGGGGAGGGGCCTCGTGTTGTCGGATTGGTATCTCTGTCCCAGCGCCAGCTTTGATTGCACTAGCTTTGATCTTCGGCAAGAACCCTTTGAAGGCTTCCCGGTCATACTCCCGGGCTTCAATGGTTCCGTAGATCGACTTCTTCGGACGCGGCCTTGTCCTGACGCTATAGACGATACGGTAGTGCAGGGTCTCAAGGGCTTCTTTGGCCAGTGTGCGCTTTAGATGGGAGGCACCGGAATCCTCGATCAAGCTGAAGACCTTCTTGAGACGGTCGGCCACCATATCCACCTGCGTGTTGAATGCCTTTTCAGCTTCTCTGTCCGCAAATTCTGCCTGGTACCGGCCTGAATCAACAGCAATGTTGAGAAGGGAGGTGATGGCGAGAAGCTCTCCATAGTCGTACTCGGGTTTGTCTTTGCCTTTGTACTTCCTGATGTCAAAGATATCCCGCTTGAGGATGTCGGTGATTCGCGTCAAGCTGAGCAGCTCGGTTAGTGGCTCGCACAGAGGCGCTGGATTGTCGAGTAAGAAGCACACGGCTAGACGACATCGGATGAGAGCGATCCAGTCAGCTTCCGGCAGTATATGCTTGAGAAGGCGGCTTTGGAATGTTGCGTCTTTGAATGTGTTGAGTGTCGTGGTGCAAACGCGATGTATCTAACAATGTAAGTGGATTGACATATTATCGTTTAGAAATTCAGACTCACCAAGTCCTCCGCTGTTTCCTCCGAAGAGCTCTCCAAGACGGTAACTATCGCTTTCTCAATCTCCGAGCTGATAGTGGCGACGCTTGTAAGAGTCATATCGAGCGTCATTCGGAATAAAACGCTCAACAGGTATTCTCGGGTGTCGTCTGCGAATCTTTGAATCGATTAGCACTCGTCGAAAAGCATACGATTTGAGAGACTTACAAATCAGCTGCCCCGCAGATCAGATCCAGGACAGACAACACTAAGCCTTGGTGCCGGGAGATAGATTGGAGGTAATCTGCAATGGCTTAATATCCCGGAAGTCGCACTCCTAGGCTTGCTTCATACCTTTGGGATCCGCATCTGGAACGATCTGTTCGTGAATATCTATTGCATTCGGAATTGCTCCTAATCGTTTGAAGAGTATGCGAAAGTCATCTGGCCGTATGAGGGCCTTAACATGTTTAGCATTTGTGTTCTGGGATCAAACAGTTAGTCAGTAAAGCATAAAAATATAGGCTACGAGAGCACATGTCACCTTTATAGCCCTGCAGTACGCATGTCTGATACTGTACTGTGGCTCTATCGGTACTGATGGCCGATATTAGCAGTGCGAGGAGCCAAGAAGCCTGAAAGGACTCACTGGAGTGGAAGATCCATGAGATCACCTCGTCCGGCAAGAATGACCTGGAGAGAGCAAAATCAACGATACCAGAATGAAAAGCTCTCTCCCTCGAATGATTTGCTGAAACGAATGAGCTTTGAGCTAGTTGTCGTCAATTGAAGGAATACTTACCTGTTAACGAGGTCAGATACGATCTCGGACTAATACATTCTACCGGAAATTCAAGTACAGGAGGCAACTCGTCCTTGAAATCAAAGAAGTGCCAAGCCTTAGTCGGATCAAAAGCATCTGTTCTGCGTAGAGCGTGAAGCAGACGTTGCATGTCCATCTCGTCATCGTTGTCGCCCAGAGCTGACGTTAGAATCCCTTCATGTAGCTGTCCCCTCCGACGGGTGGATTCATTAGCCGCCCTGTCGAAAGACGCCCTTAGCTTAGCGATACCAGCCTCAGTCTCCTGATCATCAACCGCGGCAGTGACGAGGGAGTCAAGATTATTCTTGTACGATGGGGCAGGCTTTTCCAGCCGGGCGAGTGAGTCGGTCTTTGCCGAAACTGTACGGCCAGGACGTGAAGGCTCTGAAGATGTAGAATGGGTCGGTTTAGCGAATCTCATAAAAAGGTCTGCGGGAGACTCTAGTGAGCCTATGGAGTCAGTGTCCTCTCCATCAGAACCCATCACGACCTCTTTGCCGTGCTGGACAACACGCTGCGAGAAGTTAAAGCTCGATCCTGGTACCAGACTTGCAGGTGACGAGGAGCTATCACTTTCTGTCTCATTCTTGAATGTGTCATGGATAGATGGTGTCAGCGAAGCAAGTGGTTCATGCGCTGGCCTTTCTGGGGTCGAAGATCCATCTTTTGAGAAAGACGACGATACTTCAGTGAGAGGAGAAGATTGCGGAGGGGCCGGACTAGGATGCTTGGCTGAAGGCTCCTGGGCTGGAGGCTCCTGGCGAATGTCTTGGTTGCTTTCGTTAGTTGCAGCGAACACTGGACGCTTGAAATAACTGCTTATGCGTCGCATACTGGGCAGATGAGGGGCACTGAGACGCTGTCATGGAAGAATGACCTGCATGCTTTGTTCAGTTTAGATCTCCGCATTCTACGGAACACGTCGGGCGCGTCTCCCCATTCGCGAAGTCACATGATACAATACTATGAAAGCATGGTTATATGATGGAGATGGTAGTTAATTCGTACAGTGCTCCAAACAGCACAATTGGCCCAATTCGCAAGAAAGAGAATAAATCCCTCTCAAGCTGTATTTTTAGTTATGGGACACAGGCATCAGCGCCAAAACCGGATTTGCTTCCAGGCACCGCCCCATCGTTTGCTGGTTCCCGTCTCAGATTGCTATCTCATATTATGACCGTCTCCGTTCAGATTCGTCAGCTTTTCCCCATGCACCGTGACCGTTATGTAGGGGCTACTCCGTCCAGTGGCACAATATCCAGATAAATGATGTGGGGGAGGGATTCCTTCCGATATTCATAATTTCCCAGGGGCAAAATATTATTACGGCCAATTTTTTCCAGAATCTCTCCGAATGATCATACAGACTTCCAAAAATACGGTTTCTTTCAAATTGTCGTTCACTAATCACCATCCATTGCTTACCAGGAAATCCCCTGTCGCCTCAGATTTCTTTGTCCGTCTGTTCTTTTCGACCCCAAAACAGGTCAGCCAGAATGCAGCTTGAAAGGGGCCAAAGAATAGGAAGCAATGGGTGTCGATTCGCCCAAAGTCGCTGTCTGCTCTTCAACCAAGGTGGGAAAACGAGCAATTCAACCTTACACTTCATATTCCTAGCTCAGAATCCTTCCTGTCTGATCGCTCTCGGATGTGGCCCAGGGGCTGGGAGCGGTGCAGATCTCAGGGTTAGTACGCCATGCCGACCACACTGTGCTTGGTAGCCTACAACTTTGGTCTCCACACGGGTTCGTGGCCGATCTATCCAGTCGGTGTCATATTCCATCCTTCCCGCAAGGTACAAGACTCCAAAGTACTCATAGTACGGCTATTTCAGTGTCCGTCTTCCGCTTCAGACGCAATGCACCCTCTCGGGGTTGTCTGACGGGAAGAGGCAGACCTGGCGCTACCGTTTTATGGAATCAATACTTGATTCTCAAAGTGAACATGTGCGAATAGGATAAACACTGAAAATGCACGATTGTTTCGAGAAAGGATATGCCTATCCTCCATAAAGTAGGTGAGAGTGTTAACAGTACTGGAGTCAGACGAGGCTATGGTGGCCAATTCTTACCCAGCCCCCTCGGGCCGGAACGAATAGCAATGACGGCAAGAGCACAGGCGAGATTAACAAGACTTGTTTGTGTATGTGTGTGAAATGTGAAGCTATTTTAAGTTGTTTAGAGGGAACCAATGCAGTGCAGAAGCTCAAGTCGGTTCACTTGCGCGTCAACACTCTGGCATGAAACTGATGTCTGACTGAAACACTTTCGACCGGGTACAATGCTGGATGATCGACTCCGAACTAGCCCCCCAATGAAGGAACACACTTCCAATGCAGGTTCACAAGAGACCAGATAATCCATGCGCAATAGTCATGGAACCATACCAAAGTAACCAAACTGTATCGGGTGGGAGGTTTGTTCCTCATTGGCCTTGCCCAGAAGCCAAGACAGACCAACAAAATATAGAGAGGAAGGCAAAAAAGGGGGGGAGTAGAGGATAATGATTGCTAGGAGAGCCGAAAGTACAAGCGGATAGCAATGGTATCCGGTAGCCGAATTTACATAATCAGAAGGGTTGACAACTTAGGCTGTGCGCATACGGAATTAATGAAAATTGAATGTAACGATTGACAACCGCATAATCCACCAGTGAGCTGATTGTTGTCCGTCGGGCTATCTAGCTGGTCAGTCAATCTACGGAATTAAGATGTGGTACCTCTCCGCGCTCCGTTGAGGTGGAGCATATCCATGGGCTGGCATCAGCATGTGCCGTCCCGGACGACCTTAGGCTGTTTCAGGCTCGCTTCGACTAAGCCCAGGCGGCCAGTCGTCCCTGGGCCTTCCAGAAAGCTCGGTAATCCGGGAGTATTGATAAGGTAACAGATACATCCATTCGCCCTGCTAGAATGGGTGCGAATAAGCAAGCAAGCATATCTTCCAGAAATGCTTAAGCATGATTGTCCGGGAGACTCGTCGACCTTCACATTCCCCAGCGATCCATCTACCGGTATGATGCGCAATTCGCCTGTCCTGATGGTATGCATGGTAGCATGGCTGCCGCAGTGCATGGACCCCAGGGAGGGTGGTCCCGATAAAAGCCATTTCAGCGCCATTGGCCCGATAACCTAGTCGGTGGTGCATTGGAAGACCGTAAGATTTCTGGAATCGCAACGACGACGTAGGTCGGAATTAAAGGCACGAAGCAATAGTGATTGACATATTGAGCATTTGCCAGCAGACAGACCGTCGCAGGTCCGCGTATAATAGCGTGAAGCGCCCACGGTCTAAAGCGAGGCTGGGTCGTAATTGTTGCCGGGCGGTTGGAACCTCCTTCCCTATAGCAGATAGTAGGTTGAGCCAGGTTAGGCAGGATGTGCATTATCATCAGCCGATGGAATCTGGGGATCAGCAAGCAGCAAGCTCCCAAGCTCCTAGTACTCACTGAAATTCTCGAAGACCGTCTCTGCTGAGTTTGGTGATGACAACCGATCAAGTTGTCGCTAGTGTATGTTTTGAGAAGTCGATCGGTGTGCTGTACTCGTATCAATTCCTGGATCTGTCCGTCTCTGTAGGGGGCAGGAGCGCAGAAGCGTATCATCACTGCCAGATCTAACTACTCCTTGTACTAGGCCTAACAAGCACTTTCCAGTTGCAAGCACTGTATGTACCTAGTCACCTGCTTTTTAGTGTATGCAGTGTAGAACAAGTGTTTGCGAAACCTCTGGCATTCCCTGAAATCAATAAATACGGTGCAGTGTATTGAGATGACCAAATTTTGACAGCTTGGTACCGCATCCGCGTTCCACCCTAGTATTTTGATACCGTACCTTTCGAGTTCCGACTCGCCGCCGCCGCCCCCCCCAATTCCTCCCCCCCAAAAAAAGGTCCCGTCGGCTGCTGGGTGTTCCATGAGAGAGAGAGAGGAAGAGAGCGAGACCGAACGCTGTCCGGAACGCTGTCCTTAAGCCTCCTCCTCTTGATCCTTTCTTCCGCAAAGGCTGATTCTCTTAGTCTGCTTGTGGTTTTTATTGTTTCTCTATTCCTTTTCCTGTATCGTTTTATTCATTCGTTCATGGCACATACATGGCCCATCGTGGGTGATCTTCGTCTTCCTTCCCCCTCTCCGCTCGTTTCGCCTTCCTGTCTGCCATTGCCCTGTGTTTTGTGAGTCTCACTTTGGTGTTATTGACACTCCTTACCTTCTCGCATCGCCGTGTCGCACTCAAGCGCCCATCCTATTCGTTCCCTGTCGCTACCAACCGCAATATATTGCCTCGAGTCGACCCCGTCCTGACACCTTACCCTTTCGATCTGACTCCGACTCCGGTATAAACAAATCAACTCGCGAGCGGGCTGCGCTGCCAGGGTCCAGCTCGTTGATGCGGATGCCCTCCCTTCGTCGTTCCGAACAACACGGTGCCTCTTTTATGCCCACGACAGGGTCGCAAGTAGCCTAAATGGCTTCTGTCGATTTAGGCACAGATAGCGTTGAGCCTGACAACGAGGCTCGAGAGACCAACAGTAATGTCTCCAAACCAACAAAGCGCCAACGATGGGCAACACAACGAGTTGCCGGCTCAGGAGGAGCGCGGAAACGGGTCTCGATAATAGATCGGCTGCACAAGCGCCCAAATGTCGAAGAAGAGAAGCAGCAACCGGCTGCAGTTGATCCGCCTCCTCCACTACCTCAGAGCCCGGTGAATTCGACCGCTCCCAGTAATAGAACGATCTACTTCAACATACCCATCCCCGAGAACGAGAGAGATGAAGATGGACGCCCAAAGATGGAATACCCGAGGAACAAGATTCGCACAGCCAAGTATACGCCTTTATCGTTTGTACCCAAAAATCTTTGGTTCCAGTTCCAAAACATTGCCAATATTTACTTTCTCTTCATCATTATTCTTGGTGTATGTCCCTATACCTCTCCTACCCCAGAGATAAAAGCAATCCTCACTTACACCTAATTAGTTCTTCTCCATTTTTGGCGTCGCTTCTCCAGCGGTGAACACTGTTCCCTTGATCGTTATTGTCGTGCTCACGTCGCTCAAAGATGCTATTGAAGATTTTCGCCGTACCATCCTCGACAATGAGCTGAACAACTCACCTGTATACCGTCTGATAGACTGGACCAACGTGAACTCGACTGAAGATCAAATCTCCATGTGGCGCCGATTCAAGAAGGCTTGCACCAGAGCTACCGTCACCACGTACAGGGCCACGAAGGCACTATTTCAGCAGAAGAGTACCCCTCAACCGGCAAAGGATAACCGGCGCGCAACGTTTATGTCCACGATATCTCCGCGTGCTTCATTCGCTTCTCAACGCGAAGAAGACGCTATCCAAATGACCTCCGTTCAGAACTTTACCCCCGATGCCCGACCAGACTGGCCTCTTCCGGCTGCAGATGTCGACTATCGATCGATGCCGGACAAAGCTGCCGGATTCCAGGCCGTGGAACGGGACGCTTCTGCGACTCCTCCAAGGAAAGTTGGAAGCATAGTCGATATGTCGAAGCAAACCTTAGGGAAAGCAAGATTCAAGCGCGATTTTTGGAAGAACATTCAAGTCGGAGACTATGTTCGATTATATAACGGAGATCAGGTTCCCGCTGATATCATCTTGCTATCGACATCCGACCCGGATGGCGCTTGCTACGTGGAAACCAAAAGTTTAGACGGAGAGACCAACCTCAAAGTCCGACAGGCCCTGCACTGTGGCCGCCAAGTCAGACATGCTCGAGATTGCGAGAAGGCAGAATTCGTGATCGATAGCGAGGCTCCACACCCCAATCTCTATGCCTACAACGGAGCTTTGCGTTGGGATCAAC